TAATTTATGTTGTACAAAAGCCGGATAGGCTCATTTCTGAGAGGATTAAAAAATATTTAACTAGTAGTTAACTCGTTATAACGAGTTAGTATCTCATTATAACAAGTTAGTTATCTCGTTATAACAAGTTAATTATCTCGTTATAACGAGATCACTAGCTCGTTATAACGAGATACTAACTCGTTATTTTAGGAATGACTCTAATTCTTGGCCAAATTATTCGAGTATAACCTGGTTTGGGTCAGTTTACGCTGTTTTATAATCCGCTCCGCTTCGCGGATTATAAAACAGCGTAAACTGACCCAAACCAGGTTATACTCGAATAATTTGGCCAAGAATTAGAGTCATTCCTTATAATTTAATTCTAAAATCATTAAACAACTGTGGGTGTAAAATTTCGTTGCTTTTTATTAGTTCAAATTTGCCGCTCAATAATACAACCCTAGTAACGGAAGTGATTGGAAGCGAGGGGAGGTAAAAACTGATACATAGTCCTAGCAGCCATGTTGTTTGTTTACATGTGGTAAGATCCAAGTGACTGTTTGAAGTTAAAGGTACATTTATTAAATCTGGAATTTTCCATGAATCCCGAGGACTGGAAATGAGAGGATTGCATGGATACAGATGATTCAGCTGGTTGTCAGGGGGGTGTATCCCCATACCAAACCAGGTTATACAGAAATAATTTGTGTTCCTTTTTGGATATTAACCAATCAGAGGCTAGAATACAAACAAAATTAAATTATAACGAGATACCAACTCGTTATAATGAGATAACTAACTCGTTATAATATGATTAATAATTAGCTCGTTATAACGAGATAATTAACTCGTTATAACGAGATAACTAACTCGTTATAGCGAGATAATTAGCTCGTTATACCGAGTTAAATATTTTTTTATCTTGTCAAAAATTAGTCTGGCTTTCGTAATTTTGAATGGTAGTGTCGAATAAAAAAAAAGGTAGTAAATGTTTTAACCCAAGGAAAAACAAAAACAGGCTGCGAATAGCCAGAACTGTCTCCTCTCACTACAGGGAAAATTTGTGGATATAAAAAATATTTTGTGTTTAGATCGTATGAACATCTTTATCAGTGCTGATTATGTTACTTGACATCTGCAGAACCGACGGCTTTACATCTACGGTATTGACTCCTAGTTGTTTAAAGGATAACTTTACATTTCACATCTCTGGTACTGACTGGTAGTTGGCTATAGGATAATTTTACATTTCACATCCCAGGTTCTAATTACTAGCTGCTTAAAAGCTTACTTCACATCTCCGGTACTTACTGCTGGTTGCGTATAGGGTTACTTTACGTCTCATATCTCAGATACTGACTGCTACTTGCTTATAAGGTTAATTTACATATCACATCTCTGGTACTAACTGCTATTTGCTTATAGGGTCACACTTTATATCTCACATTTCTGGTTTGACTGCTGGTTGCTTTTAGGGTCACTTTACATCTCACATCTCATGTACTGACTGATAGTTGCTTTTTAGGGTCCCTTTTTAAAGATCGCAAATCTCTGGTCATAAGTTTACATCTCATATCTCTGGTACTGACAGATAGTTGCTTATACAGTCAACTAACATCTCTGGTACTTGCTTGCTACTTATAATGATACATGTACTTTATCCCTCTAATACAAACTTCTGCCTGCTTTTAATGTACATCTCTAGATCTGGAACTGATTTTTTTCTTGCGTTACTTTACATCCTCTTGTTGTTTATAAGGTCACTGTATATGTCTTGTTCCGACTTTAATGACTTATAATGTTGCTTTACATGTCTGATTCTGACTAGTAGTGACTTATAATGTTAATTTACATGTCTTGTTCTGACTCTAGTGACTTGTAATGTTACTTTACATGTCTGGTACTGACTGTAGTGACTTTTTATGTCATTTTACATGTCTGGTATTGACTGATATTGACTTATAATGTTAGTTTATATATCTGGTACTGACTTGTATTGACTTATAATGTTACTTTACATGTCTGGTACTGATTATAAGTGACTTATAATGTTACTTTACATATCTGGTACTGATTATGTGACTTATAATGTTACTTTACCTGTCTGGTACTAATTGGTAGTGACTGATTATGTTACTTTACATGTCTGGTACTGACTATAAGTGACTTATAATGTTACTTTACATGTCTGATACTGACTGGTAGTGACCTACAATGTTACTTTACATATCTGGTACTGACTATAAGTGACTTATAATGTTACTTTACATGTCTGATACTGACTGGTAGTGACTTATAACGTTACTTTACATGTCTGGTACTGACTGGTAGTGACTTATAATGTTACTTTACATGTCTGGTACTGACTGGTAGTGACTTATAATGTTCCTTTACATGTCTGATACTGACTGATAGTTACTTATAATGTTCCTTTACATGTCTGATACTAACTGATAGTGACATAATGTACCTTTACATGTCTGATACTGACTGATAGTGACTTATAATGTTACTTTACATGTCTGATACTGACTGGTAGTGACTTATAATGTTACTTTACATGTCTGGTACCGACTGGTATGACTTATAATGTTCCTTTACATGTCTGGTACTGACTGGTAGTGACTTATAATGTTCCTTTACATGTCTGATACTGACTGATAGTGACTTATAATGTTCCTTTACATGTCTGATACTGACTGATAGTGACTTATAATGTTCCTTTACATGTCTGATACTGACTGATACTGACTGATAGTGACTTATAATGTTCCTTTACATGTCTGATACTGACTGATAGTGACTTATAATGTTCCTTTACATGTCTGGTATTGACTATAAGTGACTTATAATGTTCCTTTACAAGTCTGGTACTGACTGGTAGTGACTTATAACGTTACTTTACATGTCTGGTACTGACTGGTAGTGGCATGTACTGTTTACTGGTAGTGACTTATAATGTTACTTTACATCTCTGCCATTGGTTGATGTTACATCTCTGGTGACTGCTTATTGTTGATAATGTTACATTAAAATATACGTTACAGTCGATGAATTGTGAAAACGTTCATTGTTCACTTCATTACTTCGAACTTGGCGTCCACAATTATTATTTCGTTCCTATAATCTCCCTTTAGTTACGGTCAGACTTTTTATACGATTAGATGGGTATTGATCCTAAAAGGGCTGTGCCATTTCTATCGGCATCCTGATCTACCATGTAACACCCAGATCGCTTGAATTATTGCCGTCCCTGGTGCCTTTGGCTGAACAGTTTTCCTCTAAATTAAGCCCAATTACAGAATCAATTTAGCTTTGACAGATATTCCACTGAATTTTCGTTAGAAACAGGCGATAAGAGAAGGGAAATTACAAAAGGCAAGAGGGTGGTGTCTCCGGAAGTTAACAAGCGCCATTATCTATTCTAGAAACATTATTGGCATACTGTGTGTTAAGTTTCTCGATGTCAAAGCTATGTTCAGTCTATGATTGTTCACTGTCATAAATTAATTTTATAGTAGGACAATATATCTGATCACAATTTCCTCATTACATAATTAAGTTAGATCAGAACTTGAGATATTTGTATTTTCTGTCTCATAAACATAATAAAATACATAAATTCATAGTTTTTCAAATCCATGGTATCTGAAGCGTTTTATTCATTATGCAGTAATGTCGATTACTTTGTATAACGCTGATCTGGGGTATTTTAGCCAAACTTCAACTGATTCTTTGGTCAGAATTGATAAAACATAACGAAGAAAAGATAAGTATTAATATCCTAAACTAGTCTTTGTATATGGCACCTCCACTAAAGAATTTTTGACCGTTCCAGATTACTTGATTGGCAACTACGAGAGCTATCATGAAATATTGCCTCTGTCAGGCCATTGGCAATTATCTTCTTAATTATTGGAATGATTAGGAAAATGATGGCTAATGACCGCACTTCTCTGTTTAAAAAAAGCATTAGCCTTTATTTGTATGCTTAAGATTAAGAAACAAGGACTGGTAAAAGTTAATATTCTACAGCTGAGCATCATGTACCGTGTATATCAGATATACGAAAATATAAATTACACGAATTTTTGAAATAGATTCTAGTTAATAACAAAGATGTAAAATTTTGTGCTCTTTCGACAAAGGACAATGTACAGTACTACATGTATTTTTTAATCTCTCCACAACATTAACTCCATTCCAATCATTTATTGTACCATGACATAGTATAAATATATAGTCAGCTTACCAATAAAACTACGACTGAACAGTTAACAATACTGCTTCGATTTTTTTTTAATCTAGAGAGCGACAAACACTGAAATGCTATTTTTGAATGCAAGGTGCTTGTACTTTCTAGAGAATTCTTTGCTCGATTAACCAATAGATGTTTTTGACGCAGTGCAAGAAAACAGGAATGGTTCTCCATAATTCCATAAAGGAAAAAAAATATGGATTTATATACCTTTAATGTTCTGGCTAGGGTCCAATTCAAAAACACACGTTACAGTGTACCAAAAACACGGGGGGAAAAACAAATGTATAGAACTTACAGTGAACTACATTCTGGAAACTACTGACTTCGCTTGTAGGAAAACTACAAGTCTTGTAGACTCAGATTTAAAAAAAATAACAAGGTGGCTGAATTTTACAATAATTACAAAAAATAACAGTATTGAATTATAGAGAAAAAATGTCTTTTAAATGAATTTAATTTTTTAAACTTTATTTAAATGAAAGGAATTATAAGTAATCGATAGGAACACGTACATGTACACATTTGATTTTCCGTGTCTCTTATACTAATACATATGTAGGTAGGGGGATAAACAAGCCTTTAACAAGCATCGTGAGATTTGGTTCTTTGATTCAACTGGGACCAAATCTAATGGAGCTCATAAAAAATCAACAACTGAATCTGATGAACAGTTCATGTTGCGTTTATAATGTGTGTTGTTAAAAGGCAATTTTGCTTGTACATTAGTACATTTAAGATTATTTCTCTTTTCCTGTAGGTAGTGTCGCCTACAGCTCTTACGGATGCTAAAACTTTGCTAATGAATGCTTTTGATGAGAACAGTGATGGGAAAATTGATATAGCAGAGGTAAGAGTCCATCAATAAGAACAATTAAGGTGCTTATGTTTTAAAATTATTAGCAATATTCATGTATCCAAATACTTGCTTTATAAAATGCAGTGTGGCCTCTTAGCTTTGACCTTTGATAAAATATAAAATTGAATTTTATTTTATTAAAATGTCCTGGATGCTATGTGTATGATTTCACAGTATTAGATTGTCAATATGTTAACTTGTATTTACCATTTCCATACTTTTATAATATAATTCTGAATTTCCTCGATGAAACAAACCCATATACAATCATCCGTACCTATGAGTCCCTGAATCAGACTTATCTAAATGTTATCAAGGCATCGTCCTTTGACTTTATCAAAACGTTTAATGTACGACAGCCTTATAATTGCTCCTAAACACTTTTCATCTTACTTTAAGTACTGCTCTTCAAACTTGGCGCCAATCCGTGCTGTACCGTACGTTTTGTGCGTGGTATAATACCTAACTGGGTAGTATAAAACAGACGCACAAAAAGACAACTATCAGTAATGTTTTACTGCTCACTCAGATATGGAGCATGCGCAGCTGTCAGAGCCAATCAGAATGATAATCATCCCATTATTACATTTTGTACTAGATTCATTTAAGTTGGGTAAGTCTGATGCCATGTATACCTAGTACTTTTGGATCCCCATCAATTTTCATTGGATAAAATACCCATAACAAGTTTTTCATTGTTATTGTGTATGTATTTGCCCATATTATAATCAATTTATAACTGTTTAGCTATTTTTAATTACAATACATTCATAGTAAACTTATGTACAATCTTTTCCTTATTAGGTAAAATTTCATAAATGAGACCCACAAATAATATCTGTAATGATACCCATCATGCGGGTAAAAGAGTTTTTTTTAAACACCAACAGCTAAAAACATTACAATGGAATATTTAATTACCAAACATACCATCTAGTATATATAATACATATACTAGAATCACCTTGTCAGCCCGTCTGTTTATCTGTGGTCGCAGATTTAAGAAAGCATTTAGCCCTGTTCTTCAACTTACATCAAGTCAATACTAAAGTTGCGTCAATTTTATATTACATCTATGGATGCAGGTCCTTGCTTGGGGTGCTCCGTCTGAACTACATTTTAGACTTGGGTGACTCTACTGTAGAACGACACTTGCATCTATTCTTAGCATCTTACAAGTTATATCCAAACTAAATTTGTAGATATGTCTATGGGTTAGTCTGATATACACCATTATCACCTAAATAATATGGAATTTGTGTCTCCCCGCTGATTCGATTAGCAAGAGCAATGTTCTACGTGCGAACAGCTAAAAAACAAGACAGGCTATTGATAAATAAGTTGACGATACAAGAATATCAACAATGTCGTTTACCAAATTCTTTGGTAGATACAATGACGTTGTTTGCAAAAAAAAAAATTGTCGTTAAGTTGACTAAGGTCTTTCATACAAATTGTTCGGCGATCATATTCACAGTAAATTGTCTACGGATTATATGACAAGGAGCACACAGGGGTGTGACCAGTTACCGGTCGACAGGGGATGCTTACTTCTCTATGGCACCTGTTTTCAGATGTCTGTGTTGGCTCTGCTCACAATTTGTATCGTTTTATGGACATGATCACTGTTTGTTATCTTTACATTTCACTTTATCTTACCCTATCCAACTCTGCCACAAGACCATTTCGCCGTATGTTCTTAATAGAAATATCACTTTTTAAAGTTTGCGTACAATTGAATTATTCAAGATTGACCTGCGTCAAACCCATCTGAACGATTTACGCTTCTGCTGTTGTATCTATTTTCATATGCCGTACATGACTTTGCATAAATATCGAGTATTCCCATCTCTCACATGTACATGTAAGATGGCATAAATCATCTCAAGAATTAATGGACAAGGCTGTCGTAAAATCTCCGGACCGTTCACCTCTAAGAGACGTATGGAAGTTGATTTTGTTTTGATTATCTTGGTCAGAATAATCAATATTGTTAAAATTTTGCAATGAACTTTTTTTTCATTTTGTTTCTGTTGGTACATATTCATGTTCCACACATAATCGACATAATTAAATTTGTTTCAAATGCGTGATGGGAGTATTTGTTATGCATGTATGCTTTTTTCCAAAATTTACGAAGTACGTGTACTGTACATATTCTAACATTTATTTTACAGCTAGCTCAGATTCTACCAACGGAAGAAAATTTTTTGCTTCTCTTCCGGAGGGACAACCCCTTGGAGTCCAGTGTCGAGTTTATGAAGGTTTGTCTCCATACAAAAAAACCTTAATGTGGCCATATAATGACAATTACCCGATTAATTTTGTCCAAGAGATGGACACTTGATTAAGTTTGCGTACATTTGTAATTGCTAATTCGTTTTTATAGCACGACTGCATAATCAATCTGTTGACATCCGTCATTACGTTTTCCGTCTGAGCATGTATGGAATTGGTAATTTCAGGTTTGGAGGGAATTCGATAAAGACAGAAGCGGATATATCGAGGGCGACGAGCTGAAGGTATGCTTCTGTATAGAATACAAGTTAAGCTGGCTGATATTGGAATACTCATTAACTGGCTGATGCTTTTGGCGAAATCATTAAACGCATACCAATCGTGTTTTAGGACGTTAACTCTCAATATAATGAATTTATATCAGACTTTTTCTCAATTGTGTTTGAGTCATATGAGAATTTCTCATGTAACAGGGAATAGATGATAAATAATCTCTGATGTCCTTGGAGATAATTGCCACAATAAAACTTGTCGTGTGCGATAGATTTCTTGTTACATAATCTACAGAAGCAGAAATGATGTAATTTTTGTGAATTAAATTCAATAATCATCTGAAAAAAAAGGTCAGATGTCCACATATCGGACTTGAGTACTGTAATGGTGCTTCGCCCTTTTACTTCAGCATAAAGCACACTACCCTGTCTTTGAACATCACCTGCTGTATCTAATTTTAAACTCTTATTGGCATGTGTGAAAGGGCATGTCCAGTTTTGTCCTTTATTCGGCTTAAAAAATGACAGTTGGCACTTAACTACATTTTTTTAAAAAAAATGTTAAATAGGCAGAATTGATAATGATTTACAGCGCATACATAGAGATTACCAAAAAAAAAATAATAAAATAAAAAAATAAAAATAAGGATTTCAAGAATTTTCAAATTTCCCAATTTTAGATGATTGTCATTTAAATTCCCCCCCCCCACCCCCTCCTCTGTTTGTCACACACAAAGAGTACAATGTATTTAATACTTGTGCATAAAATTTGCAAATAGATTTGCGTTCAATTTTTTGAAGCAACATGCACTCTAAAAATGATGAAAATCATTAAAATTTCGAAAATTCTTAAAATGAATTGATAACCATTCTATAAACCATATGCTCTCACCTTAAATCAAATACTTTTGAAACAAACTACATAGGTGTTGTTTATAAACTCTTGCACTGTTGTGAGTGCTTCCAAAAAAGGAAGGAAAATAGGCCCCTTTAATGTCCTATGTTTGTTGTTCTTTGAGTTTAAATGTGCAGTTGTTTATGTATTTTACAGGATTTTTTGTTACACTTGTTGAAACAATCCAAAAGAGAGAATGACGTCACAGAAGAACAACTGATCACCTATACAGATACGGTGGTAAGTGTGCTCACCTGAGCCATCGCTTCTCTCCCCTTGTTCAACTATGCACCCCTGATCTGTACAACACGGGTGACTTTTTCCCACTTCTTACACATTGTGTATAGTTACTTTATGAATATTTTTATACATCTACGTATGTATAAATAAACGATTAGACATTGTTCAGTTTTCTATCAGTATAACACTCAAGCTCAATAAAATGGTGCAACTGATGTCGCTGGGGGGTTAAGCGTAAAAAATAATGAGATGTCAAAGAACATATTTTTTAAATGAATGCATGAATATGTAACCTTTAAGGCAAATATACAAAAATGTAGTAAACAAACCATATTGAGATATTTTGTTTGGCATATAGTGATTTTTGAAAAGTACGCTACTGTCGCCAACATCGAATAATTACGCTTAAATGCCTACTTTTTGTACAAATAACAGTTCAATCTTAAATTAGATAGCATATGTCTTCAAAATATTTATTTGTGAAATGTTTTAACTTTTAATAAATTATAGAGCATAATTACAAATACATTACCAAACTTTAATTTGATATCCCCATGTCGCCAGAAACAGATTAAAAACCGACTGTGACATTTAATATAGTATGAGTATCCTGTATTGTATGCCTGTAAGATTGGAATACGTTTTATTTTGAAGGAAAGTTCTTGAGAATTAAAAATAAATGATACAAAACAATGTCACAAATACTTTGAAATTACATTCTATCTTCCTATTTTGCATGCATATGGATATGAAACATTCGTTGTATTAATTAGTTTAATAGATGAAATAGAATGATATCCTGGTTAAACATGTGATACTTTTTCTTCTATCCAAGAACTGTATTCCATGCTCCAACCATGATATAACAATGTCTTATTGTTAGCTTACTATTTAGAGAAAATGATTAAATGAAACAACCGTTACCGAAACATTCGTTACCAAACCTCTTAAAGAAGAATGATTTATGAGTTCAAACACCTTCTGCATATATATGTGGTCAAATATTTTGCGCCAGTATTCAAATTTTTACATCCGGAGTATGGTACTACCTTTTTATGATTTTTTTCTAAAGTCTAGACAGTGTTAGTGAGTTTGTTTTCTAGAATGCAATAACAATGAATTAAATTGAATGAATTAGTATGTAACTATTAATATATATATATATGTATAACGACCGACAACAATGTAACCAGTTTCAATCTACACCTAAATGTCTTCTATTACTCTTGAAAGGTTTTGAAACATTCGTTACCGAATGTAACGAATGTTACGAAATTTTTAACAAATCATATATGAAAATTGCAACGATATTTACAGAATTTCTTTCATGACTAATTGTTCGAATGTAAACTTTATTGATTGATTTGTATCATTTTAAGCTTAAGTTGCATAAATTTTTATTATAAACTGATTCTAGAGACGCATTATTGAACACACATATTAATTCTGAAGAAAAACATTAATTGAAATTATTTTGAAAGAGAATCTGTATATTCAAAGTCCGAGAAATTACCGAACACAAACATCTCCTAACATTACATCTGTATACATAACGTGCAAGTTAAGGTTATCCGAAAACCAAGTTGAATTTGATTCGACAAAATGAATTGTTTTTGTAATCTTAGAAAAATTTATTAATGCTACATGTACCTTTGTTTTGCAGCTACAATTATTCGACAGAAATAAGGATGGAAAACTGCAGTTAAGTGAAATGGCAAAGTAAGTTAAGCGATATGTTCTGATTTGTATACAAATGAAAGAAGGCGATAACTATAGCTTATAATGAAACTAAAGCTATGTTTTTGGAATTGACCATGCAAAGAAGTTACCAATAAAAATATACTTTAAACTATTGATTTTTTATTTCAACTTTGTCTTGAGATATTAATTTATCACTGCGTAGTAAAGTCAGAAAATTTAATATAAACTTAACTGTAGACAAGATAAATTGTAAAACAGTCTTCTTGAAAAACGCTTAAAAGTTTCGTGTTCAATTTTGGATATTATGAATTTTTATGATGTTCTCTTCTTGGTATATTTTTCCCCTTCAACTATTTCAGACTTCTCCCAGTAAAAGAAAATTTCTTGTGCCGACCAGTATTCAAGGTATAACATTTTCTATGAAAACACATTGGTAAATATTATATAATTAAAATTTTCACACAACACCAGTTTACACATTTTAAACTCATTTTAATTTTATTTTGAATATTTAAGTTAAACAAAATGACAACTAAATGCATTGTTTGTAAAAGAGCTGGTTAAAAAGTCGATGCTTATTATTTTGCTTTTTTACTTTTCATTTTTGCCTTGAGAGAGAGAGGGGGTTGGTTGCCTAGATATTGTTCTAGTTTTCATTCATAATATATGAAATATGACATTTTACATAAATGTTATTTAAAGAACTGCCATACTTCAAATACATACAAGACTCGGATCAGAGATGTAACGAATATTAGAGATGGTTGCTCATTCTGCAAGTGAACTATTAAAACACAGCACAAATATGCTAATTCTTTAATATTCAAATGCACTCAATATACCATTCACAATGTTTCCATATTTCCCATTCATAACCTTTCCATCAAAAAGAAATCAAATTTTAATGACCTTTGAGAGACAGACAAAGGGAGTAATTTCACAACACACAATTTTGTCATTAATTGCTAAGTTTAGAACCAAAATGGCCGATTTTTTTTCAGCATATTCCTCTTTACATTATCTTCATTCCTACTCAACAATTATTTATTGCTTCCCACTTCTTTGGATAGTGGGATGCAATAAACAATTTTAGAGTATGATACATACAAATATTTTTTAACAATTTAACCATGGTCTAATTAACAAAATTTTATTTCCCTTGTCCCTTTGGCGACTTTTTCTGATCCCTATTGCAGAAGAGTAATAGAAAGGTAAGTAATTCGCAATTGTTGTCATGATATCGATGATATATAGCGTTCTCGGATATAAAGGGTAATAGTTGATAGTTAATGATAGTCACATATTAGATATACCCTTCCTCTATAAAACAGGCAACAATGTCATCTACAAATGTAAATCGTAATGGAATGGGCTTAGATTAGTAAATGTTTTCCTCTTCTGGTTCTTGACTGCCAGTAAAACAATTCTGACTAAAGATATTCCCAACTTTACACTCTACTCTGAATTAAACATCGCTTTTCCTCTCGACAAGAACAAGTTTTATTTGACTTTCCTTTCCGTCTTCGAAGGAGATATCTGTGATATTTTCAAAGAACAGACATCTCCAGATGACAATTTTCTCTCTCACGTGATATTCTTCAGATATTTCTCACGTGACACTCTTTTCAGAGACAGTTCAGAAAGAACAGTTCTGTATTTGGTGTAAGTCTTTGCATGCTTTTACATCCTGTATTTTTTCTTTGACATTTCTAAGTTGGCCACTAAGTAATCACGTTCGCCACAGGAATCTAAGAATCTAGTATTGATATGTACTTTTGGCTTTAAAGGAACCTTAACTTAAAATTAAAAGATAATAAAAGCATTGAATTTAGTTCTCCAAATGAAAAAGTATAAGATTATATCCATGGAAAATCACATTTCGTTGACAAAAATTAAAATGATGTGTGAAAGAATGCTTATACAATTGCCTTATCAAATACATCAAAGCTATATAAAGTTTATATTTAATGAATAAAGTTTATATTTAAAAATCAATGCAAGATATACATTCTTAAACAAAGTTAATTTTATTGGAAAGCAAATTAATTACAATATAAAAGCATTTTAATCATTCACATTTAAAGCATAATTGTACACGAAAACTGGGTACTGCTTGCCTTAATTAAATACTACAGGAATGTTTTGAACACAAAAAGGGGAATCAATTAATATCAACAATTGACCATTGACGATCAATTACCTTAAATCGTTAGGAGTCCCCCTACCCCCCCCCCCTTTTTTTTTTAGAGGATTAAGACAATTTTAAGTCATTCAACATAAATGTTGATTTACTCAAGAACACATTTCTATGCGACACAAACATTCTGCGTGGTTCAAACTGCAGACTTTATACCAGGACATTTTAGTTAAAAAATGAAACAAGTGCCTCCATAATTTGAGGTCTCTCTTTTAAGCACTAAATGGGCTGCTACCCCCCCCCCCCCCCCGTCCGCCCCGGAAAAATAAGAAAAGAATGAAATTTCAGATATCGCAAAATATTCTGTAGATATGTCCTTTAATATTACAGTTTGTGAAAGTCTTCCATCTGCATTATGATTTTGGGATTTAATTTTAAAAGATCAGCATTTCGTTCTTTTTCAGTTTGATGTCATTTTTAAAGCTCAATTTTCAAAACACAAAGTTCTACTTACAAGTTGACTATAGGAATAATGAAACTTTGATTTCCTGTAGCGAGCGGGATACATATTATTCCGATGCACAAGCTCTTTCCATTTTCTTATGTACACTTAAACACGGCACTACTCCTCATGATAACATTGATATTTTATAAAAAAAAAAAAAATCCTACGTTGCTACAGTTTTTAATTATTTTTTTTAAAATTTATTTCGACCAAGAGACTTACATTTTCATATGAACGTGAACTGTATAGTCCTTTAGTACTTACATAAATATTATATAAATGTAATAAATTAAGATTTAAAAAAAATAAATTAACGTGCTTATTGGTGGTAAAAAAGTGTTTCTCCGAATTCAAGGAACATTTAAGTTGTTTGTGGGAATTTATGCTAAATTACATACTGATCAAGAATTAAAGACTAGAATAATTATGTTTTCCTTATGTTTTCATGTAAAATCTTTATTTCCTTTGTAGAGTGCTAGTAAATTGACAAAAGATGACATCGATAAAGTTTTTCGTCTTTATGACCGAGTAGGTAACAGTGCGTTTGTTTAATAATTCTTATCAGTAATATTCCAATCAAATAAGAAAACAGTTAAAAAATTTACCATAACATGTTATGTCTATTCGTCTATTCAGTCTTCCAAACTTATTCCAAGTTCAGTATTTATTTTACAACAGGATAACAGTCATTTTATAGAGAATGAAGAATTAAATGGGTTCCTTAAGGACTTGATGGACCTCGTGGAGGAGGTAGGGGGCATTTACTCAAAACTAAAACTGATCATCAAAAATAATATTTTACTTTATGTTAGATGTCTCATAGGTACAGTAAACATTACCTGGGCAAGTTTTAGTAAATAAAAAAATTTATACATAATTAACATTCCATTTTCACAGGATTATGACGAAGCTGACCTGATTCAGTGTAGAGAGGCTTTGCTGCGGGACTGTGACCAAAACCAGGACGGTAAAATTGACTACAACGAACTTAGGATGCTGTTGATGTCCTATAACCAAGCCTCCCTTGACAACCCCGGCTTTGAGCAAGAGGATTCCTCCTAAAGTCCTTAAACAAGGCTTAAAGTTCCTTCACTGCGGGTGTGCTTCAACCCCGAGACGGAACAGTTTGGGTTGCTGTTCAGTTCCTATAAAATATTAAACTTTTCTATAATTATCTTTTCTACTCTAATCTATTCTTAAATTCTTCCATCTGGAGATATTTTTTTAATTATTTTACCAAGTTGTATGTTTGGGAACGTCAGTATGTCTTGAATGTCATCCAGTTTTGCTTTCACTGCTTTGAATGTGGATAATGCGATGTAAATAATCAAAATATGAAACGTGCCAGCATCAAACGGCTTATGCTAAAATACTCCATTTACGTGCTTACATATATAAAAATGTTACCCTTTCTTTTTCGTTTTATTTCGTACATTGTCTTTGCGTCAACAAAGTTTTGCCAAATAATACATGTAGGTATTTGAAAAGACAATTTTTCTAATCATCTAAATGTAGTTGTTTTTAAGAATTTTGCACTTTTGTAGTAATGTATGCATGTAGTAAATGCTGCAGTGGTATAATATATAGACTTTTATATCTAAAAATCTAGATTTTAATATCGAAAAGGTATATATGCTTTCCTAAGTTATTAAGTGAAGTTATATTAATGAGCCAAAATGGTAAACATATTAATTACTTGTACATCAAAATGCTGATTAGACTTAGTATTAAACACCTTACGAAGAATGACTATTCCACTTATTAAATAATACCTTGCCAACGTATTTACAACGAGATAGAACAGATTGAGTCGAGCATTTTCAACTTAAACTGTTAATTTTGACAGTCAGATAATGAAAAAATAAAGGTGAATTGATTAATTAGCTTCCTAAATGCTTGAAAACAACATACATTCTTCAATTATTATAAATAATAAGTTATTGATATATAAGCTTTTGAGATGTACAGAATAGTGTTAGTCACCGGGTGTGACCTGCTTTTAAATCTTCAATTAAAAAAATGATAATTTGAGATTGTTATGTTGTCTTTTTGCCAACGGGAACCCGTTTACCAGCCCGCCATGATCGGCAAACGGAAAAATCCATAGACAATTCAGTGTGTTTGTTTGTTTGTTGTTTAATGTCCTTCTCGAGAATTTTTCACTCATATGGAGACGCCACCACTTGCCCGTGAAGGGCTGCAAATTTATACCTATACTCGGCACTCAAGGCCATTGAGTAGTAAGGGATCTTTTTCGTGCCAACACCTACTGTGACACGGGACCTCGGTTTATACGGTGTCATCAAGGACCGGTCTCCACGTCCCTCAGTTTATTTGGAGACCGGTCCTTCGGATGAGACTGTATAAACCGAGATCCCGTGTCGCAGTAGGTGTTGGCACGAAAAAGATCCCTCACTGCTCAATGGCCCTAAGTGCCGAGTATAAAACGTTAAACAACAAACAAACAAACATACTGAATTGTCCATGGGTTTTCCGTTTGCCGATCATGGCGGGCTGGTAAACGGGTTCAATGTGAAGAAAATGGCCTAATAATTTGTATGAAAAACATCAGTCAACATTCGACCTAATGATTGATTGTATTTGCTAACAAGGTAATTGTATTGACCATAAAATTTGCAAAATGATGACTTAAAAAAAGATTGTTGATATTCTTGTTTCATCAATTTATTTGTCAACAGTTTGCCTCGTTTTATAAATTGTTCGTACGTAGAGCATGCTTTTGCGTATCGAATCAACTGGGAGACATAAACTCCATATGCAGGTGAAAATGGTATATAGCTACATAAAGGGAAGTTGACGATAGAAAAGTTGCAGTCATCACTTTTATCAAAACGATTTGTCAGGTTACCATTAATTTTATTTCTAGTGAAATATCCAATTATGAAACAGATGTGTCAGACTCTGTAGTATCTTTTATTTCGAGTAGAAAGGGATATATCGAATTAACGTAGGACTAAAATGAATATTGTTAATTGTTAAAACGTCGACGATATATCTAAATGTATAATTGAAGACCACAGGAAGAGAGAGACTTCTTCTTTTCATGTAGAAGTTTTAGATTAAATTCTGCTTCATATGAATACAAAAATAGGTCTGCTAATAACGGGACACAATTAGAAGCCATGGGAATTCTGAAAGAATATTGGAAGACTTGATATTCAAACACTTCATAGATATTGTCAATCAGAAACTCAAGCATCTTTACAATATCAACTTCGGAGTACTTGTTTGTACAATCAGAATGTTTTTTAACCAATGATGTTTTTTTGACTAATTACAAGGCACAGTAAGTAAGTATTTACGAGTTCCTATTTAATTGATAAAGCAGCTGTCTATGAATTCAAAAGTCACAACTTTATTTTATCGTGGGGAATCGTTGAATTAAGTGTTGAAAAGTCGTATATTTTGATATTAATTTTTGGTAAAATTTTATGATTTAAAATTTTCTTGAATATATTGTTGTACACTACTCCATAATATTTTAGTGAGAAGTAAAGAAGGAGCTTGATAGAACATTTACAGGAACCCGCTTTATCTTTGTAAGGATTTTTATGTAAGCTGGTTGATGTCCGTTTTGTGCCGATTTAACCATATTTTAGCCATATGCTGAGAATAAAAGAGAAAGTCATGAGGTTCTGTGGCGATCTCAAGGATATTCTCTTTTAACTCCTCAGACAGAGGCCTATGTGTCAAGAGGACATTATCTTTGAAAGCGAACCACCAACTAATGTTCTATCAGACGAACTAAAAGTTATAAACGAATACAATATTCTACAAAGGCATATTAATGAAATACAGTTTACACGTGAAAGAAGTGTGGCAAATTTGATGCTTTTTGAAAGCAGTTCAACGTCCACAATGACAAGGTTGGTAAGACTATATGTAAGAAGCCACAATAAAAAGTCCAATAACATATTTAATATAAAAAAACCCGGATCTTTTTATGATGTTTGTTTTTGGAAGTAGATAAAAGGTCAACTGCTAGTCTATAAGCCAAATAATTTTGAAAGGTTTATTAAAATGCTAAACATCAAAGCTTGTGTAATGGCTGAAAAGATGTAGGGAAAATATGAATGTTTTTAAATGAGGTCTGGTGCAAGAGCCTGTAAACCTAGAATGTAATGTAGAGAAGCTTACTAATGAACACTGTAAACCCAATTTCAATCTCATATCTTTATCTTTTTCATTTGCAAAATATGAGATGAAGCTAATTTTTTTAAAAAAAAGTAGGTCAATTTTTAGGTTAGAATTTCTGGTTTATTTGAAAAGGGCATTTTGACAAGCATTGTATATGCTAACTGTTGCAGTTCTACTTTTCAAGGTTTAAAGGATACAATGTACATGTATATTGACACTAGGTCAGTTACCCCTTTTTCGTAAAAGAAATCTATATTGTCATGCAATACACATACCAAAGCAGACCCCCACCTCTTACGGTTCCAAAGTATACGAAAAATATTATAATTGTTTTTTAAAAAAACCTGTAGGCGTCCAGCAAACTAAGGCAATCCCCAAGTGCCGTTCTGTTGTGTAAAAAGAATCTTTATATAAAGTCGTACACATTCAAACAATTGTTTCATATACAATGTATATCAAATTGCTTATAAGCAATCTGTTCCGTATAGTTCAATGATCTAATTCATGTGACCTGGCCTTTTATCAAGGGGACCGCCAACCTAAATATGTTTCCAGTAACTAGGTCACATTCAAATTGAACGGTGTCTCGTAAAAGTGTTCATATTCACAGTGTTGTCCTTCCTGATATACTTTATTTTAGCAAATATTATTATGACTGGATTTTATTTGCTAAAATAAAGTATATCAGGAAGGACAGTGTTCACAGAAAGGGAAGACCAATGATCGTATTGTACATACATGTAATTTGATACAATAGTCCTGTGTATTCTAAATTCAGACTAACACAGGTTCATAAACATAAATATGCTTAGTCAAGAAAACGCTATAAAAAATGTTACTGAAAAAGGTGAAGTCAACGAACAGTGATCAATCTCATAAATCCTGTAAGCATCACGAGTCGTGGACAGGACAAAAATATGGACCCCTGGAAACTCCAGAGGTGGGATCAGGTGCCTAAGATGAGTAAGCATCCCCTGTGAACAGTCACACCCGCCGTGATACTTCTATATTGATCAGGTAATTAGAGCAGGTTATAGTCAACGTTAGTTTTAAAATAATGACCTAACAATTGGTATGAAAAATGTCAGTCAAAATACGGCTAAACAATAGGCTATGTTATGCAAAACGACCACAGAATCTACAATGTGCTGACATTAAACCAGATTGTGGAAAATCCTATAAAAGAAACTTAAATGTATTTGTGCCGTCTTGTGCTTGAGAAAAACATTAAATTGTTTCACTGTGAAGAACTTTAAACCCCTATTGAAGCTCTTGAACAAATTTATTCCATATCTGTGAAACATAACCACAGATTTTGAATGAATTAATCAGTTGAAAGTACTCTAAAGTATTTTTTTCCCAGTGAACACATTTTTGCAGCACAAAAACTTGAAACTATTTCAACATATATATTCTATATTCACTAAAACATTTAAACAAGACATTAATTTTGAAGCGTATCATTCGAAGGATAAGGCATTCGTATAAGTTTCATTAGGTTGGTAAGGTTGGTACATATTTTGAACGAAGTACAAATATTGCTCATGTATCTACTACATGTGGAAACAGGTAACACATTAAATTAAAGTTGCAGCAGAAAAAATAACTCGATGTTTCTTGTATCTTGAGCTCTCGCGGAACAATTTATCTGTACCATGTAGTCTATCCAACACCCCAAGAACACCATAGTTCCCCGTAAATCTGGCAAAAATGACAAAATAATAAATTTATTCATAAAATCGGCCAACTATCAAAAGTGAACCGAATAATAATTTTGCCGATGTATAGAATACCATAGAAAACATAGCTACTATATGTGTAATCTTCACTTCTATGCATTTTAATATTTAGTTTTACTTGCTTTAAGTGATGGAAGTCATGAAATTCTGGCGATGGTAGTAATGGTAAGTGGTATCCACTATGATGAATGATAGTAACAGTGAACGCGATAGCAAACCACCATAACGAGGTCACAAGATTACTTGCAAATACCACTGGTCCGCACAAAAACGGAATAAGGTTGGAGATAAGCATTTCTACAGGGTGAGCATAAACAGCAGTAAGCCCAACAGGAGCGGTCCATTCGTGATGCTTCTTGTGTATTCGCTTGTAGAAGAACGATGAGTGCAAAAGCCTAAGAAAAAATGTAAAATTTTAGTCTGGAAAGCTGAGAATCGCATGAAGTATTGAAGTATTAAATGCTGCAATTCTAATATTTCATTCTAAATGAAAACATTGAAAAATGACGATGTTATCTATTTTAGAAGTTGATATCCACATTTCCAATGAGATTTACAATTTTTTTCTTTAAAAAAATATTATAATCTGCTTTTTCTGTTATTTATATTTGTACTACCGATGTGCGTAATAAAATCCTATTTCCTCTATCACAATGAACCCAGAAAAGTGGAGAAAGAATGAAGAGATAGAGGGTGGTGTAAAAGTAAGATCCGAACCACGCCATTTTAACAGGAAGTAAAAGACAACAGCCCCTGGCAACAAGATGGCGGTGCTATTCAGAAGGATATTGTTAAAAAGATCCCACAGCCGCCTCTTCTCTATCTGTTTTGAAGATAAAACGTCATATTAAAGAGGTCTCCCCCTATATCTTTTCTAGGTTAGATTAACCGACACCGCTCAAACCACTAAAACCTGTGAAAAATATTAAAAAAGATCTTTTTTCCTTTAAGATTAATGTAAATCAGGGAATGCTTCTAACCATGAGATTTTTTCCCTTTTGGATCTTGTATTTGAGAATCCATCTTGGTCTGTGGTATATATCCACCACCATGGATCCGCCACCCACCAAAGAAAGAATGGAGAGGTAAACCGCAAATGTGGCTGTAATAAAGTGTTCTGTATATTTTATTGATCAGAAATGAGAAATGGAAATCTTTCGTCTGCCAAATTATTTTTATTATTGTGATATTGCGTTTATCTCATGTTATGATAAGAGGTAATAACAATCGCGCATTGATACATTCAGCAGCTAATCTTAAGTTGACCTAAAACAAATAAAAGGTTCAGTCACAATAAATTAAAGATGTGAAGTTTACTTGAAATGATTGTGGTTTTAGAAAACCTACTCACACCATACGACACGGAACAGCTCTCGAACATCAGTATCAACGACATCCATGCTGATCTACCGAGGATGAACAACTTTGTGGTCCACGTATATGTCCATATCTCTATATGCGCTGTACCTAAATCGTTATCTCTACTTTCTTTCTATGTTATTTTGTGTACATTATTTCTATATATATCTTCATTTACAAACAAATGAAACGTACGAGATACACAGAGAATTGCTAGTTGTCTTATACAATATATATGTATAAAATATCCTTCATTAATAGCGTATATAGATTATAGACTTAAGTACTGTTGCTCAATCTTTAATTTAGGAAGAGTCCTTTACAATTTTGTTAGATTTCTTATGCATTTGTACATGACAATAAAATTTTGCCTAAGAAATATGAAATTTTGCGTAAAGGACAGAAATACATGTATAAAAAAATTGTTAGTCGTCAATTGCATTTTAAATTATGGGAAGATATATCGTTATTCATCAACTGTTATTTCTCTAGATGAAATGAGAACATTAAAAATGTCTGTTTCCCTGGAATTTCGCTTTTCCCACTTCCTGGTATGGGGTGTAATACTTTGCAAAATGAAACAAATCTTTTGTTATATTTTATAAAATTTATTATTTATATTCGGAAACTTGTAATTCATATTCATGTGATTCATATTGTAAATCTTTTATATATTCGATAATTTTATTTGTACTTGTAATTTATATTCGAAATTTTTGTGATTTATATGCGAAAAATTAATATTCATATTCGAAAACTTCTTACATGTATTTATATTCGAAAATCTTGTGAATTTATATGCGAAAAGTTGATTTTCATATCTGAAAACTTGTTATTTTATACGCAATAACTTATTTATATTCGATAATCTTGTGATCTTTATGCAATAATCTTGTGATTTATATAACATATTGATACGAATATTTTGCAAATAAATCGCAAGCATATCGAGTATGAATCACAATAACAAGTTTTTGAATACGTTAACCAAACAAGTGACATTCAAATCTTTTTTTAATAATAGTATCCTGGAATCATTTATGAAAGAAATAGAGTTATTTTTATCAAGTTTCTTCTACTCTTTTCTAGACTTCCGGAATAACTTGTCTGTATCGTGCAATCTGTCCAGTACTCCTATGACACCATAATTCCCGATAAACCTAAAATAATATACGAACAAATGGGTACTACTATCATGTTGTAAATTTTGAATTTACTAGGGGGAGGTAAATACAAAATTTACAACATGAATCATGTTGTATTATTTGTTGATTCAAATTTACAACATGAATCATGTTGCAAATTTTGTATTGACCTCCCCCTAGTAAATACAAAATTTACAACATGATACTACTAGATATTCCTGCTCGGTATACTGCGATCAGAATAATTTTCGATTAGAATTTCTTACTTAAGATGATGGAAGTCATGAAACTCTGGAGACGGAAGAAAAGGCACGTGGTATCCGCTGTGATGTATGAGGGTGACTGCGTAAGATAGAGCCAACCAGAGAAGGGTGGTGATAAAGTTAGACCCACAGATCAGGGGACCAAGTACCAGCGACATCAGGTTAGAAACAAGCATCTCAAAAGGATGGGCGTACACTGCGGTGAAACTTATAGGTGCTGTCCACTCGTGATGCTTTTTATGGATATACTTGTAGAAGAAAGGGGTATGCAGCATTCTACAAAACAATAACTGATCTATTTAAATTAAGACTTTTCATAATCTCAAATCACTTTGTCTAGCTGAAAATACAAACAAACAAAAACAATCGGAAGTTCGTAGATGGAAGTGGGAAATGAAATATACACCACCTATGGCTGTAATAAAACACGATCTCCTCGATGAGGATACAACTCATGATATGGAACATGAATTCTTTCCAGCCAGGCAAAGAGAAAGAGAGGTCACATCCTCGCCATTTTAATGCCAAATAAAACAGCACTGAGCTGGGTAACAAAATGACTGTACTATTGAGTAATATGTTGTGCCAGAGCTTTTTTAGCTTCGCTGGATCAACCTAAAAAAAAAGAAGAAAATCTTAGTATAAGATACGCCGAATGCTTATTCATAAGATTATTGACTATATGAAATCGTACAAATCTGTCATATATTGAGTAAAACTGAAGTATAAGTGAGTTTTTATGCGTTCTATACATACCTTTGTGTTGTCTTTCTGTATCTTATATCTGAATATCCAGTGTGGTTTGTGGTAGAGGTCGACCATTAGAAAACCACCTCCTACTACCACTGATACTACTCCGTAAACCAGCAAAGTGGCTTAACCATGAAAAAGACATAAAATTAAAATACGTCCACCAGCAAAGTGGCTTAAGCATGAACAAGACAAAACACATTAAAAAAAGGCCAAAAATAAACAAATAAATAAAAAAAAGTCTATGCACCAGCAAATTGGCTTAACCATGAAAAGAGAAAAAATTAAAGCAAATACACAAGCAAAAAGGCTTGACCATGAAAAAGATAAAAGATTAAAGACCGTACACCGGCAAAGTGGCTTAACCATGAAAAAGAAAAAAAAGTTCAAGTGCTAAGATGGTCCACAATTTTGCGGGCATATTGATATGAAAACAAATCATCATTTCTTATAACCAAACCAATGTTAAAAATTGATATTTTCAACATCATATTTTCAATATTGCGTAATTTTAATGAGAAAAGGGGAAACTGAGTTAACAGACCATTTTTCTCGTTACCAAAGTATCATTACGTAATAATGCACCAATCAATATCACCCATTAGTGGCCTTTACAAATATGAACATATGAGACAGGTTTTCTGGAGTTCCGGTGAGGCTCTATTATGATCATTCTCTGCTTTAAGACATCAGAAGTTATTCCCCTTCGTTAATCACTTATGATAATTAATCAACGTAAATAATGTAACTGGTAGATACATTGTAAATTGTATAAAAGAATTATACAAGAATTTTTGATAGATAGTTTAAAATGTACTTTCATGTCAGGTAGTTTGTAAATAATGAATAAATAAAACGGAGACATAAATATCTTTAAATCATATATATGTAAATGAAATATCATTCAAAGATCAAAAGTGACAAGGATTGTGCAGGGTGTACTCTGGGAACGATGGTTTTTATGTTCAAGCACTATTGTAATGTTTGGTGATTGTGAAGGAGTGTAGATAGTACTGATATACAGACAAGTCTCCGAGTTGTTGCCGATTACCAGACTAACTTTCAGTTTACTTTGTACTATTGTATAATTATTTACCATTCCATGGATTCTCTACAGGGTTGTATTATACTCAGGTGACCGTTAAGGCCCCTGAGCCTCTTGTTAAAGGAAAAGAAACAAAATTGAAAAACTCGAATCCATAATAATGTCAGTATAAAAAGCTTCGCAACATTTCACACAATTATGTTGAGTGTTTTACAGGGCTGGTTTCTAGGCATTTTTCTGTCCTTTTTATTATCTTTCTGACTGTTTTAAAACTTGCAATCGTTCTAACTAGGATAAATTCACCATGCGTCGGACAACTTTAACAAATGAGATCATCAGGTACGGTAAAATCAACAGTATGATAGAATTTATTTTACATGAACGTAATTTCAGATAGGTTATTGTAGTCCGTATAGTAGATTAATAGTTTTGGTTGATTCAATCAAAGAATAAAATGTGACTAAATTTGAATTGAAAATTTAAAGAAAAATAATATCTTCAGACTTCTAAAATTAAACAAAGACAACTGCCAACTTAAAGAAAATTAATATTTTCTAAAATTATACATAGTCCATGACAAACTTCATTTGTATCTTTTCAATACGTATAAGGATAAATTCATAAAATACCTAACTGTAATACTTTTTCAACAACGCACAATATCATTATGGTTTGGGGCCTTTATGTTTAGAAACAATGGACATAATTAAATTTATCACGCATCATACTACATGTATATAAATATCGAGGAATTGTTATATGTAACTGTTTATTTGGGGTTCTTCATTTTATTTTAGTCTATCAATCGAAACAATTTCATATTTATAGTTTTTATAGATTAGACAATCTGACAAAAGAAGAAGAGCTTCTTAATTACTTTATGTCTTTTATTAATTGCTTTACTTGTACTTTTTCTCACAAAACATGACTTTCTACCTTTGAATGCTGTTTCACATTGTTGATTGGTAAGTGATTATATATGACTTGTAGCTTTAAAATGCAGCAGGACTTACTTCAGATTTTATTTCCCTGGTGATTATAACTCAGATTCATCTTAGTTTATATTGACTTAATTCAAGCATGTTCCAAACTGAGCTAAGGCGTACTCAGATTCATGGTAAAAATGCAGACTCGTATAAATTGGAAATATATCAGCACTTATCATTAAAAAAAAAGTCAAATATTGCCTTTGAATTACTATTATAGCCTTTTAAAAACTTATCTTCATACGAATAACTACTAGATGTATATATTAAGTATATAGAGGATATTCAATGTTTTGTAGATGAATATGGAATTTATTTCACGAGTGGGACAGGATTTTTTGATATTTTCACTCGTGCTTCGCACTCGTGAAAATATCAAAAAATCCTGTCTCACGAGTGAAATAAATTCCATATTCATCTACAAAACATTGAATTTTCTGTTTATTACATTTTTTTTTATTTTCCCTTTGCCTCTGTCTTTTCATAACACAATGTTATAGGTTGACGTCATAGTTGAGCGGTTGAGACGTCATAGCTTACCAGTTGTGAGATTGAAAACATTACATAGCATGGATTTTAGCAACATATTTGGGAAGAAATTAGCAGTTTTAGCTCTATCAAAATGTTTAATTACTATCTCTATCTTATGACAGGCCAGAAATTATTTTTTACTTACTTTGATATCCTTTCACACTATGAGAGAATATCATTTTTGTATCCTTTCACATTGTGAGAGAATATCACTTTTATTCAATAAATAAATCACAGTATTTCACTGTTGAAAATGTAATAAAAAGATGTAATTACGAATCTAGATTTCCTGATTTCCGATCCTCATGTTCAATGGTGAAATCATCTTAATCCATTATTATTAGTTTTCTAAAGTCATTTACAGATATATATACTTGATGAAAGGTTGACATTACATATATACAAGGCATAAAACAATGAAAATCTGTATGAACATCCCAATTGTTAACTAATCGAAGGTCTAACTCTATACGGTGTAAAGTATTCACTGAACATATTAATCAGACTACCCTGTGCACAGTAAAAGTTGATAATTAATATTTCTTTTATTTTATAATGTATTTTACCTAAAATCCAAATTTTTTAAGGATCAGTTGAAAATAAATAAATAAATAAAAGGGAAGAAATATGTATAGCTAACAAAGACATGGTTTCAATGTAAATCAGGCGTGGATCCAGGAATTGAAGTTAGAGGGGGCGCAAAAAGTAGGCAGGGGGTCTGGGGGCCGCCATGAGCCCCCAGTGGGTCCAGGGCGAAGCCCTGTTGGGGGTCCAGGGGGCGAAGCCCCCGGAAGCTCCTGGATTCTAGGGTAAAAATGAGGTCTACCAGGTAGACATTTTTACATTTTCTCGACGAAACTATATGATATACGCTAACTTTGACAATTTTAGGGGGGGGGGGGGGGCGCCGGGTGCGCCCCCCCCTTAAATCCGCCACTGTAAATATAAAATGGAGGGAAATATTGTTGTCGACAGTCTATTCCGAAAAAAGTGGGAGAAGGCCATGCCCTGGTCCGTGTGTGTATAAAATAGAAAAATAGCTACCTGTAGCATTCCAGAAACCTTCCTCTAAGTTCAGATCCATTTTTTGCAAATTTAAAATGTACTAATACATGCATTTAGTAACATTTATAAATCAAGGGTAAAGGTTACTTGCCGGATATCACATTTCCAAACGTGAATCATTTTGTTACTTTGAGACTCATTTTTACATCCTGTTGCGATTACCTTTTGACAAACAGAGACAGCCATCATGCTGCCATGGAATTTTTAGAGATAAGTTGAGATAAAAAGATTGACACTTGACATACAGGTCAAAATATGGTCAAAGATATCAATTGGCCATTGTGCATATAATAGTAGAACGGTACAAAAGTGGGAAAATGGCAGATCAAAGCACCGTTCAAATAGAGACAAAGGAAATTCGAATGAAGAGGAGTATTAACTTGCTACACTGTGTTGCTGTCTTGGTTGCTGTGACAGGACATATCTCTATTTTTATTTCACCAAGTGTAATATTTTCAACAGTGGGATCTATTGGATTAACTGTTATTGTGTGGGTATTTGCTGGTTTGTTAAACATTAGTGTTTGCCTTTGTTTTGTCGAGCTTGCTACTGTTTTTCCGTCTGCTGGTGGTCCCTATGCTTATGTCACAAATGCTTTCGGTGGACTGTCGGGGTTTATCATCATGTGGGGATACACAATTTTGATTATTGGACCATTTTGGGCATATTTATGTTACACTGCATCTGTGTATATTTTGAAACCTTTTTTCCCTCTTGGTTGTGAGCCACCTGCTGTTGGTGTAAAAATTCTTGGTGCTTGGATATTAAGTAAGTATGCATAGTTTTGACTGAATACCAGGTAATCAATTGATCATTCATACTGATCTTAGAGCATTATATTTTCTAAACTTTGAAAAGGTTTTAATATGTTTCATGGTGCCACTATAAATTTTGGATGAGTGTAGTTGTATTTATTATTATCTGTATGAGATTGAGAGAGAGAGAGAGAGTTTAAAAAAGGAATAAAAGAAATCTTCATAAACATGATAAAGCATCATGTTCATGTATCTATGGAAAAGTCATCTTTGTTTACCTGTAGCAGTGTCAATTCAACAAGCAGTAGGTATGATTTTTTTTGCTGAAAAATTTCAAGCAACTTAATCACTTATAATCAGAATCCTTTATTTTATTGCAGCCACTCTTGTTGTTTTAAACTGTATCTACATGAAGTATGTCACCAAGGTGCAGACATTTCTCACAGCCAGCAAAGTTGTGTGCCTTATTCTCATAATAACTCTGGGAGCTGTGGTACTTAGCAGAGGTAAATCAACTTAACATTTTGTTCTTTTAATTGTTTTTGGCAGCTTGTTGCTGGCAAAGTACTAATTGCAGCAATCTGCCTTAGGTCAACATTTTTTAATAAAATGATTTACGGGAGCGCCAACTGCAATTTAAGCTAGAACCAAAAAAAAAATAAAAGTCCTTTTTGTTGCTTTTATTTTTAAATTTCCTGCTGATCATCAATACAAGTGCACTAAGAAAATGAAATAATGTGCAAATAAGTCGGCAATTCTGATTGGCTGCTTTATGGAAAGCCATTGTTATCATCCAATCAATTTACGTTTGTTATCAACTGTTTTGGAAGTGTATAAAACCTGCCAACATGGATGCAGAAATGTCAAGTTTTACAAAAGTTGAGAATACTTTGTCCTTATACACGATAGTTTTTCCAAGTCAACCAAAGCTAACAGGAAAATAAATTAGAGTATGTCTAGCTGCAATAATGTAGCCCTCTCCGATTTTTTTAATCTGATATTTTCAGGAGAGGGCTACAATTCCACTGCATCTCCGTAATGGTGCAAATATATTTTTTAGATACGGGCGACTGCAGGCAAAATAAATTGTTTTTGCATTCAACTTACTTCCAATAAGACGGAATTTTTATTCACTATCAACATCATAGCCCTTTATACGCGAAAACCAAGTAAAATAAATCTGCGTGTTTTCCAGTCGTTCACCTCAGCAGCCATGACAGTTCTCACGTGATGTACTGAGACTTGCGCTTGAAATTTAGAATCACTCGATAATGTAAATGTCGGTGTTGATAAATGTTTGTGTTGTATGATATAATAAACATCGATAAATAAAAGCATTCCACGTGATATTTTTTTCAGAAACAGTGATATTTATGCTTATAATAAGGGAAATCCATACAGATCCGCTCCCCTAGATCCCAAATTCTCATTGGTTGTCCCAAAATAAAATCGATCAAGGTCAGTTTACATGGCGGATAAATTCAAGTTGTGATGTTGACATACACGAAAAATAACCGATATACGAATTGTTCTGTATATTTTTGGATCAATTCATGTCCTGCATAACTACATTTTATGAGTTCATGTAAAATATGTTAATAAAATACCTACTTACTGATAATTTGAGCCGAAATCTGTGCAGTAGTGAATCACTCCCGCACTTGCACCATTACGGAGATCCTAAGGAGTTGTAGCCCTCTCCCAAAAAAAAAAAAAAAAAAAAAAAAAAAAATTGGAGAGGGCTACATTATTGCAGCTAGAGTATGTCCAGTGATGAAGTTAAGTTGGAGTTAAAAAGAAATTAAAGAAATGACAGCATAATTTTACTAGAGAATATGTTGACAGAACTGTCACTTTCGCTGTGGGTACCATATACAGTAGTTCACTTTTACAATTTTGATACCTTTGATGAAAGTGATAAAAGAATGGAAATTGAAAATAGACGTTCGAATTTTGTGAAGAATAAAATGTGATGTATCTAATTTGCATGTATATGCAAGAAACGTTTCAGCAATGTACAGACTGGAAATTCTGGTATTTTGTGTTGTGTTAAATAGTTTTAGAATAGATATAAACATACATTGCAAACAAAACGGTATTTAATTTGTGAATACATTCAAGCTTTCAGAAGTTTTTAATATGCATAAACATATGCTGTATTGTATATTACAGGTTTAAATCATGATTCTGGATTTTATATTATATTGAGATTCTCTTTATAAAACTATATTTTCCATTTTTGATTTGTTGGTTCATGATTTTTTTTTCTGTACTTTGAGCATAGTGAGGTTCTCTTTATAAACTTTTTTCTTTGGTCATCTTGTTGTGGTCATGATGAATATTTTGATAAGAAATTCCTGAGATTTCCCCCTTTCTAATAAGGTTTTAAAAGTCTACTTCAATTTTTGTGTTGCGGTTATCATATTTTAAGCTCCATGCCCTATATATGGCAATTTTTATAGAATAATAATTGAAAATTAAAAAATCAGACACCTTTTCCAATTTTTTTTTATATTTTTTTAGTCGACTGCATAAAATATGGAATTTTATTTTTATTTACCCCCCCCCCCCCCCCCCCGGACCCAATTTTTAAAAAAAAATTCCCATAAATCATTTAATAAAAAATGTTGGCCTTATTGGTTGTAATAATATGCTCTCACATGTATCAGGCTTTAGGAATGTTTATATATGTACACTTGTTTTGGTCATTGTTATATGTTTGCAGTGATGTTTGCTGATGTTCCTGCAAATTTCACAAAGGTACATGTAATAATACTGCCAGGCCTCCAGAAGTACATGTAATCATCACCGAGTGTCTATTTGTAAAATTCACTGAATTTGAAAACAGTGAAGATAATGGACTGTGATCAACCTCATAAATCCTTTAAACAATATAAAACATGAACTGGGAAAAAAAGACAGATTCCTTGAAACACCAGAAGTGGGATTAGGTGTCTAGGAGGAGAAAGCATTCCTCTTGTAACTCCCATTATGACAGAGTCCTCAGTATTGATAGATAAACAGTGTGGTGCCACACAATTATGGACACATGGTATTTATCTCAGAAAAAAAAATTATGTGACAAGTCAATTATCTGATGATGTTCTCATAGTAACTACAGCATGAATATGATGGGTGTTGCTTGCATCCTTGTGATGCACAAAATGACTACTCTATGATAAAGTAGTTGCAACTTGGATAGTATTAGGTAAAAACTATATAAACTGAGAGTAAATTTCATAGTGTTTTGTTTATCTCAAGTTATCTTGATTTGAATGTTACATATTGCTTTTGGAATGTTTATAAATAGATAAATTTTAGGATAATTTTTTTTTATTTTGTAGATTTTTTTATTGCTTGCTCAAAGAATCACTTGTTGACCCCTTTTGTGGTTTTGAGTGTATTGTTCATTATATCACTAAAGGGTGAAGTTTTATATAAAAAAACCCAAAACGGGGGTCAGCAAGTGATTCTTCAAACAATCAACAATACTACAACAATAAGTTTTTAATAATATCTAACAGAAATTTTGTAATGAAATGAAACATTACATTAAAAAAAAAACACTGAAATAAAAACTAATTAGTAGCCATTCTGAGGTAAAGTCATGGACATTAGAGATGATAACTAAATATAAACACATAAAAATAGTTGATGTACATGTATTGTATGTCAAAGAAAACCTTAAAAGAATACAAATAACCATAGATCATACATATATATTAGCATTATGCAATAGTTTATCTAATGATTTTTTTTCCTTACATTGAAAACAGTCTGTAAGTAACTGCATATCCTGCAGTTAGATGCAGCCGTTTAATAGTAAAGGTAATGTAGCTTCCAATGCATTATTTATATCAACATACCGGTAATCAGAATGCTTCCTTTTCCATTCTCTTCCCTCGTGTGTAGATACCGGTACTTAAGATAAAGCCTGAAAAGTTTTCTGGTGATAACTAGAGGCCTGGTATTTTCTGGTCATAAAATCAATAAAAGTCGTCCTTTACACAACTACTCATATATAAACAGGATATCTATCAAGTGTCCTATCAACTCGTACAGGGTTTTAATTACTTTTTCATTTGTTGCTTCCCTTTACTAATACATTCTTTAATTAAAATGATGATTTATGGTATTGAACAGTCTCAAACGTATTATTGCTTTTGTACATACGCACATAAACTTCTTTTTTTATTTGTCAGGACATGAAACGAAGAGCAACTTTGAAGACATTTTTGAGAATACCTCCACAGAACCAGGCTCTATAGCGCTGGGCATATTTTATTCTTTATTTGTATACGGTGGTTGGTAAGTTTGCAGTAAAGAAACTATTTCTGATAATATACGGAAAAAAAATGGAAAAAAATTCTAGCGCATTGTTAATTAGTTAAAGACATTGGTTCTCTAAGGAGTATCTTTAACATTTCAAGGCAAATCGTCTGTGGTTTGATGGAAGAAGTTAAAGATCCTTCAAGGTAAATTCAAAAGCGTTTGAGATTCAATCACAGCATGGTCCAGAAAACAATGTTATTAAAATAATTTGGAGAAATTCAAGTTCACGGCCAGGAACACGTTAAGTTCCTAGACAGTACCGTTGTCAGAAACCTTTAAAGTTAAGCACTAAAACTGGTTCGTTGTCATGAACATACAGGTGAGGTTATGATAAAATCCGTCCGGTGTCATGACTTGAGAAGACAGGCTGTGAGAAGTTTTTCATTCTTTAAGTTAAATTATCTATAACAATGTCTGAAAATTGCAATGGGAAACAGGGCTGACACCCTATTTGGTGCTGTATGAATTTCAGCCGTTAAAAACAAGTAATAAAAGAAGAGTTTGCATTGGCGACATTTAATCTGTTGAAATCACTTGTGGATTTGATTCGTTTTCCTACTGAGATGTTATATTTTTCGTAAATAGAATATAATATACACACCAATTAGTGCAGACATTATCAAGACATGTTGTAAGCCTTTACAGAAAAATTGAGAACAAATTAAAACTGAAAATTTTGATTTATTTCAATTTTTGTCCGTTGTCATGACAAGATACGGAAATTCAGTCCGTTGTCATCGGTCCGTTGTCGCTACTGTATTGTATACATCACGATCTTATGTTGTTTTAGGTATCGTTAAGCATGCCATCAAAGAGACGGGTGTGTCGGTACATGTCGTTTTGTACATATTGTCGTCGGCGACAAAATGTACCTACCCTGACTGCACATATCGTCGTCCATCGATACATATTGTCGCCGGCGGCAATTTGTACCGAGACGAGCCTTTTTTTCCTCCTGCGTTATGGAAGACAAAATGTAAAGTCAAGCATCGGCACGTTTTGTCGTCGGCGACAATATGTACTGTGACCATTGGCACATTTTGTCGCCGATATATTGTGATGAATATTTACTATGGTCGTTAAGAGAGAGAGAGAGAGAGAGAGACAAAGTGTTTGGCTGATAAATAAGTAAAAAAGTTGTATTTATTTAGCATTACTCGCAATACTGTAGGGAGAAATGGTGTTGCTCAGAAAATTGTGTCCAGCATTGGTTTACAGTCTATTCTTTTTTTTCTCGTTATATATACATGGATATGAGATTGAAAGGTATTTGTTCAGTAGAAATGTTACCTGGAATTCATTTTTTTTTTTGCTTAATTCTCATACGAGTGCCGATATAATTGGTGTAGGAGTTGACATATTTTAGCTCACCTGAAGTGATAGTTCTAGTGAGCTTTTCTGATTACATTTCTTGTGTAGTCCGTCTGTCTGTCGGTAAACTTTTCACATTCTCAGCTTCTTTTCAGAAACTAGGGCCCAATTTCAATTTCAACCAAACTTACTAGAAAGCAAACGTGGATAAAGGGAGTCAAGTTTGTTCAAATTAATTGTCATGACCTCTTTCAAGAAAGTACATGTATAGTTAAGAATTAGTGAAAATTTATTAACATCTTTAAATAATTTTCTCAAGAACCATTGTGTCAGAAAAGTTGAAACTTACGTGAAAGCTTTATTATAAAGTGTAGATTCATTTTTATTCAGATCATGTCAGGGAAAGGGTGAGGCTACGATAGGTGATCAAAGTTTTAATAGAATATTTAAGAATAATTCTTTCAAAATTTTCTTCTCAAGAACTTCTGGATCAGAAGAGATGATACTTATGTGAAAGTACATACATGATTGATTGATTGTATATTGTTTTACGTCCCATTCGAGAATTTTTCACTCATATAGAGACGTCACCATATACCGGTGAAGGGCTTCATATTTTGACCCTTACTCGGCACTCAGGGCCATTGAGCAGTGAGGGATCTTTATCGTGCCAAAGCCTGCCGTGACACGGGGCCTCGGTTTTTAAGGTCTCATCCGAAAGACCCGCAACTTTCACTTCAAAGTGCCGAGCGCATGGCGAAGGAACAGTTGCTACCCATTTTATCGACTTGGGTCTGTCGCGGCCGAGATTCGAACTCACGACCTCCCGATCACGGAGCGAGCGCTCTACCGACTGAGCTATCGTGAACGGTAAGTACATACATGAAGTGTACTTTTAATTTTTTAGATTCTGACACGAAAAAGATCCCACACTTTTCAATGGCCCTGAGTTCCGAGAATAGGTCTAAATTTTTGACCCTCCACCGGCAAGTGGGATATTAAAACAAGAAACAAACAAACAAAAACAAAATCAATTTTTTTCAAATCATGACCCCCATAGGTAGGGTGGGGCCACAATTGGTGATAAAAGTTTTCCGTTGGAATATACAGTATGCAAAAACTAAAAATCTTCTCAAGAACCAAAGGCGGATCTAGCTCTGGCGCACCCCACCCCCTCCCCCATCCCACCCTGCCCCCTCCGTTTGATTTTTTTTTCATTTTCTTTGCTTTTGTAAATTCTGTTTTTTTAACCTGTATATACTCTCATTTTTTTTTTCCACAGGTAAAATTTCATGATTAAATAATATACTTAACTTATACAGTAACACTCCTTCACACACAAATGATTTTTTTTTTTTTTTTTGGCTTCTCAAAAAAAAAAAAAAAAAATCTGAACCGCATCCCCCCTTTTCCCGTTCTGAAATTTTCGGATCAAATATTGAGAACAGCAGTAGGCCCGTGATTAGCGATGTTTATATGGAAGCATCCTCAAGTAGTGTAGATTCAAGTTTCTTTTAATCATGACCCTCGGGCTTAGGTTGGGGGCACAAAGGGCGATCAAAGTTTTACACAGGAATATATAGGAAAATTCTTTAAACTTTTTCTTCTCAACATTAGCAAAGCAATGATTAGTCATACCTATATGGAAACATTGCCATGCATTGTCATGCGACATGTACTAATTATGGACGACAATATGCTCAGTGAGTGTATGTACACATTGTCGCCGGCGACAATATGAACAGGACGACAAAATGTACCGTCACAATCACACTGCATGAATAGCATACGAGATACGTCAATGTGATTTACACACCAATCACATTTACAAATCCACCAAACACAAGAGGCCCATGGGCCACATTGCTCACGTGAGCACTTTGGTTCGGAAATAGCAGAAATCTGTTCGCTATTCAAAAGTTCAAATATTAAAGTGGGGGGGGGGGGGGTATGATTTACATGAACAAAAATGAATCTACACCACCTAAAGATGCTTTTGAACTAATATGACTAACAATGCCTTTGTTTTCTAAAGAAGAAATTTTTATTGATATATGCTTTATAACCCTTTGTTTAACTATGATCCCCTGTTTGGCCCCTCTGTGGGATCATGATTTGAACAAATTTGAATCTACATTACTTGAGGATGCTTTTATTTTATGATGAACAATCACGTTTTTTGCTGTTCTTGAGAATAAGATTTTTTAATGATTTCCCCAATGTATTCCTATGTTAAACTTTGATTTGAATAAACTTGAATCTACACTACCTGAGGATGCTTCCATATTAATATGACCAATTATGACTGGTGTTCTTGAGAAGAAGATTTTTAAAGATTTTTCCTATATTATCCTATGTAAAATTTTGATAGCCCACTGCGGCCCCATCCTACCCCCGGAATCATGATTTGAACAAACTTGTATCTACATTACCTGAGGATGCTTCCACATAAGTTTCATATTATCGGGCGTTGTCATGCCCGATTTTTTTTTTTCGTCGGCCGACCAATTTTATGCATGCCAGTCGGGTCAAGTTATTATTATTATTTTTTTTTTTTTTGCGTCTGTGGCCGATTCAATTGAAGCACTCATTGAATAGTCCGTCCGCAAACCTTCGATCATCGGCCGACCATCGGCAAACAGTTTTTAAAGTCGGTCGACATTTTAGGTATTATATTATTATTATTATTATTAGGTATCGGTGTTCCTAGGAATTAATGCGACTACTCACTACTCTGCGTCGCCCGATACTAGTATCGGCCGATCATGTTTTTTTTTTTTCAGCCGACGTTACGAAAATAATTTGGTCGCCCGACCATCGGCTTAAATGTGACCTAAGCATAACATTTTAATTTTGTTATACTGATGTTATATAAGAAATTGAATATGTTTGCACACTAGCTAGGATGCAAGTTCCTAACAGAAAATGAACTGAAAATAAAAACATTGCTGAATAGTTAGCACGTTGGTGTGAGCTGCTCTAAGACGACCCCGAGATTCAAATACATTTGTAATATGCTTTGTATTTTTTAAAATAAAGCATATATTAGATCATTTCTGTTGCATGTTATTGATTTACTTACATGTTAAGAAAAATGACCTGACCAGATAAACTTAACATGTACTGACAACGGACTTTTTGCTTATAAATTTCGATTTCTTAAAACATGTTAGCTACAAAAGGCTGTCAGTTGCCAAATACATTGAAAATGAAGTTTCTCTTCATATTTTAAAATAAAAGAACCATTTTCATGAATTAAATATAAGATATATATAATTTTCCAGCTCACGATCATGACTTCACACATGGGCATGTGATCGCCAACCAAAACTTCTCAAAATGTATTGTGGATATCAAATACGTAAATCTTTGTATGGAATACTGAATGTTGTATCTGTTTCCCAAAATTCAAATTTATTCTTAGAATTTGTCAAAAACGTTAAAATTTAGGCATTATGTATAAATTCTTGTATCTTTTGCATGACACCGGACGGATTTTATCATAACCTCACCTGTATGTTCATGACAACGAACCAGTTTCAGTGCTTAACTTTAAAGGTTTCTGACAACGGTACTGTCTTGGAACTTAACGTGTCCATGGCCGTGAAGTTGCCTTAACATTTCTCTGGTTTTTAAAATACCACCATATCAACCAGTCAAAATTGAGAATTATACAGGTATAATAATAATAATTCGTTTGAGGAGTTTTACTATGTTTTATATGTATTACTCAAATGTCACAAATTACAAATTTTTAAATTTTTTTTAAAGATAATTTCATAAGTTTCTTTTTGAGCATATATTAATTCTTTTTATTTTATAGAGACATTCCACGTGCTGTGTACATTTCCTTCACAATCGTCATAGTTCAATATGTTCTCGTCAATATATCATATTTTCTCGTTCTTACTCCAACACAATTCTTATCATCGAATGCTGTGGCACTCGTAAGTTCTTATTCCTCATAAATAAAGAACAATAAACAATAACCTATTAGGTTGAAATGGGATTTTGTAAATCAAATATTCGGCATATGAAAAACAAACCCAAGTAATAAAAAAAAGTCAATGGTAACCTACTGTTTTCTTTCTGCAGGGTATCACACTTTTATATATGTTATTTTAGACATTTACCCAAGTCCACTTTCCATATCTTTCTCCCGTCGTGTCGATTTTGGTCGGGATGTCGGCAGTCGGTGTCTTAAATGCATCCATAATGGGACATTCAAGAGTCATTTTCGCTGGTGCTAGAAATGGCCATATGCCATCCATATTTGGAATGCTTCATATGCGATATTTAACGCCATGGCCAGCTATATTTCTTAAGGTACAATTAAATCTTTCCAGGAAGCTTATTTTTTAGTTTAAAGTATCTTTAAAGCAAGTGTCTGTGAGTCCATGCAAAAAAAGCTCCTTTTTTGGGGTTTCACGTTTGAAGTTGCTTTGATTCTCCCTTTTTATGGTATTTTTAAAAATATTTTTTAATCTCCTGTTGCTTAAAACTACAGCTAGGAAATGTACAATTTAACGAGAATAAACTGTATTTTAACGTCTTAATGCTCTTTTTCAGGCAACTTGGGGTGCTGTTATGCTCTTCTCGGGTGGTATTGAAATATTTATGCAGTTTATCCAGGCTTTTTCCTCTGTGATGACGTTGTTTGTAGTTTCAGCATTGCTTTATCTTCGCTGGAAACAGCCAGAGCTTCTGAGACCATACACGGTAGATAAAAGCTTATCACCCTATGGTATCAACAGTTATGTTAGAGAGAATAATTCCGGTCTAAGGATAAACATAGAGAATAGTGAAGTACAAATTACAGTGCTTTAGCACTTTCATAATATTGGAATAGAATAATAACATAAAGGATATTTACTGAGTTATTGTTTATGTTGATTGTCAAGCGTATTATCAATTAAGAGATTGAATTATATTCTGTAAAAAAAGAAATTTTTTTTAAGAAAGGTCGATTTAGAATTCTAGATTCTGCTTTTATGTCATGTCCTCTTCCAGAATTAAGAAAATAATTTTCTTAATGCAGTATCGATGACTTCTGGTAACCTCAGCAGAATTAAAATGAATTTGTGATTCCAGACGTCTTTAGTGAACGCCATCTTTGTCTTACTGTATCAGTCGTTGGTGCTACTGTTTGCGCTCTATCAGGAGCCGGAGAGAATTGGACTGGCGCTGGTCATTATAGCAGCAGGGGCTCCCGTGTACTGGCTCGGTGTTTCATGGAAATCTAAACCGGATGCATACAAACAGATAAGCAGTAAGATTTTTAAGTCCGCCATAGATGAGGCAACAGTATATTTATTGTGAGACATAGTAACTGTATCTGTACGTCATAGAGTTTCATTTATCCATGCTATTAACTGATGCATGACATATGCTTTGTCCACTCATCTAAAAGGTGATCTTACATAATAGATTTCATGGGCCTTTTTGTCGAGTTGGCAACATTCTAAGAATTTTGCATTTTAATTGTCAAAGTGCGATCTCTGACGAAATTACTATAGAACGAGTTTTATAATCGAAGAAAAGGAAATTTGATTATTAGATAAATATTTAATTATGATTTACTAACTAATGAAACATTAATTAGGGAGAAAAAAGCTTTAATTTATAAGAGGTTGGTTCTTTAATTAAACAAAATGTCTTCAATTATTGTATAAATTTTTATTGAGAGCAACTCAGACTTTATTGTAATGTTTACTTTTTGTTTTCAGAAAAAGTAACAATTGCTGTTCAAAAGAGCTTACTTATCAGCAAGACATCATGAACACTCTGTCAAACTGTGAATTTTAATCTTCTTTAGAAAGTGACACCCCTCCCCAACTAAAATTCCGGTGTCCACTTTTGGTGCTTAAATGTTTAGGGTAGTTTTAGGCTTTTAATTTATTGGCAAAATGTTTATGAAGTATCTGATCTTGAATATAAAATGCATACATTTGCATCTTATTGTTCAGAAAATGTCTGATTAGCTGCGGTTGTTCACAATTAACTCCATCCTAAGCTTCAAGCAAATGTAACCTTATGCGTGCATGAGCCTACCTTGCTGAACAGTTTACTGTTATTTTTGACATACTTAAGTGATCATTGTTCTTAAAAAGGATTTTTATATACATATACTCTATGACATAAATTGAATATCAAGTATTTATTTTATATGCATCAAAGAATTTTTTTTGTAAAGAGAATGTTATGAAAGTTCTTTCTTAGTACCATGCTATTTACTTTTCTTTAATTTGGAAAGAAGTAAATTTGTTAAGTGTTTGATATGAAATAAATTTAAGAAGGATGATAATTTGTTAATAAGTTTTATTGTTTCCAGTTTCTTGTTACCTCAGTATATGTGTGGAATAAAAGCTTCCTGATCAATTAGAATAGGAAAACTTCTACCTACCTCCATATGTGAGCATTATATTGCCAATGTTAATTTATTTTTTTCTACTACATGTATTTCAAGGTATTTAAATGCAATATTAATGAGTGCATGGAAATAAAAAGCAAAAATGAGAACCTTGTGTTAAATAAAAATCAACCAATGTGAAATTGTACAAGATTTGGAGAAAGAAGGGATTTGTTTTTAAAAACCCAAATAAGCATTCTCAAAATAAAGACACATTATTAATGTTGGTGATTAAATTTTTCCAAAGTGTCTAAATGTTAAACTAACGGGTGCATGGAAATGAAAAACAATAAATGAAAACCTTGTTTGAAAAAAAATCAGCCAATGTGAAATTGTATAAGATTTGGAGAAAGAAGAAATTTGTTTAAAAAACCCAAATGGCATTCTTATTATAAAGACACATTATTAATGACACAGACTTTAAAGAGTTCAATTGGTGTTCATCAGATAATTCTCCGGGATATTAAACATATGTCATTTGTGCGGTCTTTAGATGCCCAGTTTTGCTATAAAACTAACAATTCCTACCAAAAAATTGAAAATGTTAAGTGTCTATCAGAGATATATTTGAAGAATCCTTATCCGACCCCATGTCATCTGTTTCTAAATGATCTTCCAAAAACTATAAAATCTTAGATGTTTTGATCGCAAGCTGTTCTTTTACTAATAATCTCACTAGACAAGGTTTCTATACCAAATATGAACTGCAATCCTTCTAATATTTATATTGGTAAAACCAAGAGTTCGCTTAAAAAATGAATAACGGAGGGCAGCTGCTTCTCTACAAGCATTTTATTTTACCTGATTCTATTCTGTCAATGAAAGAATTCTAGAAAAGATTTGCCATCTAATAGCCCATCATTAAGTACACCTTTCCGTGGACAGGATTAAGAAACTAGGAACAGCTTTTCCATGGCATTGTCATATTGTAATTTTTGAATTTACCGGGTGGTAGTAAATACAAAAATTACAATATGTGTCATATTGTAATATTTGTATTTACTATCACCCGGTAAATTCAAAACCCTTTTTATATGAAAGTTGTCATATTGTAATTTTTGAATTTACCGGGTGGTAGTAAATACAAAAATTACAATATGACAGCATTGTCAACAGTTTGGGAATCTTTCAAGTCAACAGTGTAGCAATGTGAATGTGATGGGATTTTTTTTAACAATGTAGAGACGTAAGCGTGGTCATGGACATCGGTATTACAATAAACCTATTATATACGACATCTCTTTTGTTTCACTACTACCTTATGTTAAATAAATATATCTTCATCATATACGCACCAAATTTTACTCAGTTCTTCTGAAAGTTTTAAATGGTCTATTTTGAAAAGGCCAAGGAAAGTCCATATTTAGATTCTTCGACACCAGAATACAGGCAGGGATAATTATATGATAATAGTTACTGCAAATCACAGGCTTCTAAAATCGCCAAGAGAAGAGAATACTGTTCAAGTAGCCCGTCTATTTCTTGAACTTAAATTTGTCAACAAAGATCGAATTGATCCAGTAAATATTAGTAATATTCTTAATCAGAAAAGGGTCCAGTCTAGTATTCCACCATATTTCAAGTTGAAGTCAACACCTTTGTATTTCTTACAAATATTCATCGACTATTGCTTCCAAATTTTTTAAATACAAAACTCTACAGTGCCTAGATATTAAACACCTGAAACTTAATCCTCCGACGTGTTCATGTTATTCTTCGACCTATAACTTAAGTCCTGTCCGGCGCGGCATTACTGGTAACGTGAATATGGTTAATAATGAGGACCTTAAATCACTTATTTTAAAAGGACCAAAATTTATGGAACCCCGTCTTTCAACTGGCGTCAAAATTTCATAAACATTATGAATTTTTGGAAGGTTACGCCAGGCGATGGGCCAAACACGAAAAGAAGACCTTGACACTTTGTCACAATGGATGAAAGTATCAGACTGATTTTGAAATCTCGCACTAAACGGTTGAGTTGCAAAATGAATACCATATATCCTTCTGTGTTCAATAATTCAGACGTGAAAAAAGAATTAAATAGATTACAGTCATGAGCAGTATGTACTGGTCCAGCTGAACAAAGCATGTAAAACATAGTCTTTGTAAAGCTCATCATTTTATTTATAGAGGAACTTGGATTTAGTTCTGCAAGTGGTAATCCAACTGATTCTTCAATAAAAACGAAAAGTTTTATATCCTGTGATTGTTCATCACCAAAATAACTGTTAAAACTCACTCTGATTCTAGACAAGTACACTTAAGTTGATATTAAAAGGATGCTGAAGTTCCTCAATGACAACTTCGGAGACCAGGTCTTCCAACAAACTGTTGGAATTTTGATGGACACAAATTGTGCTCCTTTATTAACCGACCTGTTTTTATTTTCCTATTAAGCAGAATTTATTCAAAAATTTCTACATGAGAAGAACCGTCACGGTAGCTCAGTAGGTCAAAGATCGCTCGCTCCCTGATCGGAAGGTCGTGGGTTCAATCTTCGGCAGCGAGTGATATAAGTCGATAAAAGCGCTTTGCACTGAAGTGAAAGTTGCGGGTCTTTTGGATGAGACCTTCAAAAAACCGAGGACCCGGTCACGGCAGGCGTTGGCACGATAAATATCCCTAACTGCTCAACGGCCCTGAGTACCGAGTAAAGGTCTACATTTAAAACTATATGGTGACGTCTCTTTATGAGTGAAAAATTCTCAAGCGGGATTTAAAACAACAGTGAATCAATGTACATGAGAAGAAGAAAACACTTGCTGTGGCCTTCAACTCCACATCCAGATGTATCGACGACGTTTTATTAATTAACATTAGTTACTTCAATATATGTCGCCGTCACGGTAGCTCACTCGGTAGAGCGCTCGCTCCGTGATCGGAAGGTCGTGTGCCGCGACTTACCTAAGTCGATAAAAAATAGGTAACAACTGTTCCTTCGCTCGGCACTTTGAAGTGAAAGTTGCGGGTCCTTCGGATGAGACCTTAAAAACCGAGGATCCGTGTCACGGTAGGCGTTACGTGGCACGATAAAGAACTCTCACTGCTCAATGGCCCTGAGTGCCGAGTAAAGGCTTATATTTGAAGCCCTTCATCGGTATATGGTGCCGTCTCTATATGAGTGAAAAATTCTCGAACGGGACGTAAAACAACATACAATCAATCAGTCAATCATTATATATGTCGACTCGATATATTCCAGTGAACTCGAAATAAAAGATACCACAGAGTCCAGGGGCGTAGCTTCCATTGTGGCAATGAGACAACTGCCTCACTAGATTTTTCACCACCACAACCCCTTCAACAATACATTGCAGATAATACGTAACATTAATGGCATTTCTTTTAACAGTTTAAGCAGTTCTATAATGTTGAATTGAAGTTTTATAGAAATAATAGCAAAGTTTAATAAGATGCGCTTTCACCTTTAAATGTTTCAAAAAGTTTAGTAAACATATTAACTCCTTTACATCCTTTTATAATATGTAGTATCATGCTGAAGTCTTAAATAAAGAAACCAGTACAACAAATGAAATTTCATTGCATTTTAAAACCCCAAACTCCATTTTCTGTCGGAGTGCCCCCTCGAATGACACTACCCGGAACCTGCTTGGGTCTTAAGGCTGCTAATGTACATGTATGCTTTTGCCTCACTAGAATTTAAAGTCAAGCTACGCCCCTGGAGTCTGCCACATCTGTTTCATGTTCGGATGTTACAATGACTAAAGACGATAAGGACCAAACTAACAACTAAATTCTATGACAAACGAGATGACTTCAGCTTTTCCATCGTGAACTTCCTTTATTACTTAGGTAGTAATATTCCGCTATCACTTGCACTTTGTCTTTACGTCCCTCAACTTATTCGATACTCAAGGGCATGCTTTGAGTACGATCAGTTTTTAAACCGAGGCAGACTACTGACAGGTAAGTTGATGTTACTGGAATTTCAACAACCTCGTTTACAGTCAGCATTATACAAACTCTATGGTCGTTATAATGACCATGTTAGCAAATATACCCTTCATTGGGCTGTATTTTGGCTGACATGTTTCATACCAATTATTAGGCCTTTGTACTAAATTTGACTACGGAATATTCCAACTAATCAATACATAGGTCATAGGGGTTTGACCGGTCGACTGGGATGCTTACTCCTATGCACCTGATTCTGATATTTCTGGGGATCCTTGTTTTATGCCTTGTAAACAGATTTGTATTTGTAGATTTTTTTGAGATCACTGTTCGTTATCTTCACCTTTTTATTATTTTCAAAATCATATGTCCGTTTTTTATATTCCCAACAATCAATTGAATGTAAATTACCAAAGCTATAGAGGATTCCTAAACAACATAAAAATCCTTACAAACAGCGGTTCTGGTAAAAATTCTGTCTCCTTCTTTATTCCTCACCAAGATACTAATAGCAGTTGAGGAGAATTTTAGAAGTACTGAGCAACAACATATTAGACGAGTGGTGTTAATCAGATGGGAATACTTAAAACCTTCAAGGAACTTTTAGAAAAAAAAATTACCAAATCAATAGCATAAAATTACGACTTTTCAACACTTTGCTGACTGACGTTTTTCTTACTTTCTTAGGCCATTATTTACACACTGAATTGATGACCGATTTTTCCGTTATTTCCCGATCATGACAAGGAGCACACGGCGGGTGTGACCGGTCAGCAGGGGCTGCTCACTCCTCCATGGCACCTATCCCACCTCTGATGTTTTGGAGGTCCGTGTTTGCTCTGCTCCTATTTTGTAATGTTTAATGGACTTTTGAGCATGAATACTGTTCGTTATCTCCATATATTTCATTTATACAACCAGTCCCCACGATAAATTAAAGTCCAGGCTTTTGAAATAATAGCTGCCTTTTCAATAAAAATAGAACTCGTAAATTGGCATACATTAATTGTCACTGGTCATCTGCAAAATCATTTTGTTAAAAAACATTGTACAATTGATCTGATTTGTACAATCTTAATTTACAAACAAGTACTCCGAAGTTGATATTAAAAAAGATGCTTGGGTTTTCTGATTGAAGATATCTGTGTAGCTTTTGGAGACCAGGTCTTCCAACAAAGTGTTG